TTTTTTACTCTTTTATGCGCCAGTTCAAGTTACACGTTTGTATTAATGCTAACAATTTACGCAGTCCTTGGTTTTGGCGAACGCTGATCGCTGCTTTGCCTTCCACCGTTTAAAAAAGCGTATAACCCTTCGTGCCGACTACATTGTCCGCTCTTACACACCACCAAAATCCAAGAGACAGGAGTCAAGCAAGGAATCCACCAGTACCCATTGATCTCTCTGTATTACTTTTATTATCATCACCTTCACCAAAAATTTTCTCCACACCCGTTCAATTTCATCATACCTTCTTAATACCATTCACCTCCACCATCAAAGCTTTCTCAACTCTCATACAAGCATTATTTTTCTTACCCAATAAATAATTTCACTCATCCTGCTTACCACAGTTTATCCAAAGACCAGCGTAATTGAACATTCTTTTCATCTAAACGACCATGACCATCCACCATCCCTTCATATACATTTGTTGCTCCCGCTCTCCCTTGCCTCCACTCGGTTTCGAAAACAACTCACAATCATCTCCTAAGTATACAAGTGATACTACCCTTTTTACATGTCGATAGGTGACAAAGCGGTTTGCCAAGGCAAGCATTGGCGTGCGGATGATCAGGAGTAGGATATCTGTTGCTGCTTGAATATTCTTTGAAGAACTTGCAGGCGACCAAAGTGGGATACAAAAAAGAGCGATGCAGCCTTGATCATCGACGATAATAAGCCATATTTCAAGTGCTGTACTATGAATTTTCTCCAGATGCATCATGATTTGTAAATCCTTCTGTAACATCAAATGCTTTCTTGATCAACATTAAGTTTGGATAATCCATTGTTTATTCCCTTGTGATTACCTATCCACCATCTTCATCTCAGTCACTTACTGCTGAGGGTACAAACTTAGCGCATATGCTGCAAGGCTTTGTCGCGTTTGATAGTCCTGTCACATTAACTCACCCGGAGTTATTCCTTGTTGAGGATCAGAAAGCAGCTGGCCCCTGGAAAAAACATGTATGAGGATGACTTAGTAATTCTTGGAAATTAAATGAAGATTGCTTTGGAGAAGCTGGTATTAACAGGAGTGGAAGATGGGGAAGTTGTTGGCCTGTTACAGTAGTCTAAGGTCATTGTTGATTAAGGAACCGCAATACTTGTGAGAATATCTGACTTGTTCAAGTATATTAGCTAAGAGGCTACAACGTGGAAGATGAACCTGCATTTCACGGGCAATACCGAATGTTCAGTTTTTAAAAAATTTAGCGGCCCTCGTAATGGCCACAATAATCTTCTGCTCCTTCCGAGCATGATCGAGAGACTCTTCTAGCCAAAGGTAGCTTTTATATTTCTAACGAGCATATGATCTGTGGGGTCCCGAAACGATTTGAAACACGAGGTAGTTTCCTCTTTTACTTTACTTGTTTCTTTTCTGGGACATTTCATATAAACTTGTTTCATTTTTTACATATTGCAAAATACACACGTCAGATCAAGTCCATAACAAATTCTAAGTTAGAATTACTGGTCAACTCGACGAGAAGAACGAAGACGGCAGGAAGGACCAAGTAGGCAACAACTGCTTCCACTGAGAGGCACAAGGTCAACAGGATAATTGCGCTTATCATGATGAAGTAGAACAGGCTCAAAACGAAGTTGATGTATACACTGTGACAAAGACTTTAGAAGCGCAATTGAGCTTCTTCGACTCTTACAATATGGATGTCCAAGCCGACCAGATGATGACATTGATGTTGATGAGCGTCCTATTACTTTCTTGCAGCCAAACGACAGCACCCCACCAATGAAGCGGAACATCACCTTTTGGAATACTTGCAATTGAGCAACCCTAGTCAATATCAGTGCAGAATTTGCCTTAAGATCTTTGGCTTGAGTCAGCTACTTCATGAACACGTAGCAGACCCAAGAGCTTAGATGTCATGCTTGCTGAGCGGATCGCACTAAATCGTCCGTGTGTATGATTTATGGTTAACCATGAGTCGCAAAGCTGCACGGTTCGCTTTAATCCTGAGTTAGTGGATGATGCACGGTTAGCGACTGGGAGTGTCGTTTCGGATAGAAGCGGAAATGGAGATATAGACGAGGATTAAGATACTGTAGAGACGGTGATATTACCGCCACCGATGGTTGTGATAATTGTGGCGGCAGTAGTAGTACAGACTGCCAGCAACATATTTTCTTTGTAACTGTAATCTCTGTATTGAATATAGCCCTTCCCCCTCTCTCTTTTCTCATCCTTTATTCAGCTTATATGGATATGCCCTATCTTGTCCGAATTCTAGAAGAGCGTGACTGAACAAATGCTTTGCCATCATATTTCCCCTCTCTTTCTGTTTGATAGAAGAAAAGCCAAGACAATTTGCCAAGTGATAATAAAGCCATAGTGCGAAAAGATAGTGAAATTAATAAGATATAAAAATTCGATAGTTTGTGAAGCAATGTCACGATAATATTAGGGGTATTCAATTATAAAAATGAAAATTTCGTATGAAATGAAAAATCTCGCCATTACTAAATACAGTTTTCATTTCAAACCCAATAATTGGGGTACTCAATTACTCAATTTTTTTTTTCATTTTCATTCAACTTCCCCTCTTTCAATTCTTTTCATCAAAACATTCACCTTTGTTCCTAAGTATGCCCAGATACAGTGAAAAACAGCAAAACGAACGTGTCCTAGAAGCTTTGGCATGCTTACAGCAAATCGAGAGTACGATGGCCATGATCGACGATGATGAAGATATGTCAGGCGACTCGGATAGCGATAATGATGATGTCTTGCTATCGCATAATTTGCTGTTGTCTATACCTTGGACGGAAGTGTATAACGCAAGTTGCAGTCGACGATACCTTGATAGAGCACAAAAAGTCGCTCGTGCTCCTAGTAGGATTCACTGGCTTTTCAACGAGTTGGACGAACAACGATTTATCCAAGAAGTTAGGATGTCTAAAGATGCATTCTTCTTAATTCTCGATTTGATTAAAGAGAATGCGATCGTTGTTTCAAGTGGCCAGAAACCACAAAAACCTGTATTTGTGCAACTGCTTGTCGCTTTGCGCCGTCTTGGTTTCTACGGAAATGGTGCAAGCATCGGGAATGTTGCCAGATACTTTGGGATTGGAGGTACTACGCGTAATAAACTTAGTTATATACATACGTCTTTACACTTGAGACTTATGTAATGTAATACGTTTTAGAGGGCTCTGTGATCAACTACACAAATAGGTGTATTGAGGCGATCTTGGCTCTTGAAAGTACCTATATCCAATGGCCTAACGATGCAGAAAAGTCCTTATCTAAAAGTGATATAAGTCGTGGATCTGCTTTTGAAGATTGCATCGGTATCATTGACGGCACTCTTTTTCCATTTGCAAGCGAGCCTTGCATTCAGCCGCAAAGCTACTTCTCGTATAAAAAGAAGTATGGTATTTCTGGCATTTTGGTATGCAATAGCCAGAGACAAATCATATATTCATACATCGGCTGGCCAGGCTCTACTCACGACAGCCGCATCTTCAGCAACAGCGCTCTCCGCCATCATCCTGAGCAATACTTCAAGCCTGAAGAGTACCTTCTGGGTGACTCAGGTTTTGAGTGTTTGCCAAACGTTATTGTGCCATTCAAAAAGCCACGCAACGGCAGCTTGACAGATGAACAAGAAATGTTCAATTACAAACTTAGCTCGGTAAGAAAATATACAGTATGGTGTGCTGTAAGGATAGAATTGTATTCACTTAACATTGTTCAAAATCAAAGGTACGAATTCGGATTGAACATATAATTGGAATGCTGAAGATGCGCTTCCAAAGCCTTCGGGAACTACCGCTGCGCTTAATAGATGAAGATGATGTGAAGCCAATAATCCATTGGATTAAGGCTTGTTTTGTTCTACACAACATCATAACTAAACACAATCTCGAAGACATGTACGACGACGAAGAACTTCGGGCTGTCGTTGATGATCAGCAAGAACAACAGCCTGAAAACAATGTGAATTGGACAATCCCGAATAGTGATAGACTGACACCAGGAAAGGCCAGAAGGGAAGAGCTCTTCCATCATGTTATTAACGATCACAATTAGTCATTATATCTGTCATCATGTATCGTATATTTATTCTATTATTACTATCATTATTCTCTTTATCGGATCAACATCAATCTTCTACTACTACTACTTCTTCCATCTCCTCCTCGTCACTGTCATTATCGCTGTCATCATTGTCGTCCTGATCATTCTTGTCTACAATTTCCTGCAGCTCGCTTGCCAACGACTCATCATCATCGTCAAATACGGCTCTTTGAATTGCGTTGTTGGTGAAACCAGCTTCTACCATTATCTTTATCATTGCTGTTTTGGATTCACGATCCTGGATCCGTAATTTCTTTGCCTCTAATTGCTGCCGTTGACGATCCATTCGCTCTTGTTGTAGTTGTTGATAGATATCCAGTTTGCGTTGATGCTCAAAAACATCCATTTTGTGCTTTGCGAGTTCTCGCTTGAGCTTCAAACTTTCTTCCATAAACCGCTTGTTGTCATTATTTATATCCCAGAGTGTTGCTGCTAAGGGGTTCTTTCTTATTTTTTCAGATTTTTTGATTTGAGCACGAGTCGGTTGTGACGACGAGGCTTGTTGGGGCTGCTGTTGCTGTGAGTTGCCCTCATCAATGTCTTCGCCGTCATCGTCGTCATATAGGTTGTCGTCGTCGTTGTTGAAACTTGGATGGTATTGAGTAGGTGAAGAGGGTAATGGTGATGATGAAGGTGGCAGTGCAGATGTTGTAATGTTTTCATTTGAGCGGTTCGTTGGCATGTGCAGAGATTCTGAAAGATAGAGGGGGCGACTGGCGTGGTTATCGCTCATTATCTGTTCCAACTCGTAATAGTATTTGAAGGCGGCTTTAACGTTTTTGTCTATATATTTTGCATTTGTATGTTAGCTTTAAACAAGTATACACTGGCCGATAGTTTGTTCTAATCATTTTGATTACTACATACCACTCTTGTCCTCATCAGCTCCATCCTCGTCATTGTCAATAGCCCCATCACCATAAGGTCCACCGCCACCGGTCTCTCCAATCAAGTCATTGGCTTTGTTAAAGTTGGTGATCCATTCGTTTAACTTGCACGAAACATGGTGTGCTGTTCGATGGGTTAAACCATGACCGTGCAGCTCTCGGACGATCTCGGTAAGTATCACCTTTCTAGTGTCCTTCGAATTGCCCTTGCTTCCTTGAGTCTTTGAATTCTTGGCCGTATTGCCGCCAGTACCTCAGTAGCGTTGATAATTACCAGGTTCAAGCAACCATTCCAACAGTACTGTTTCGGATGACTTGCTGTTAGGGGTAACGTTATCTTTACTCCATGATTTAGTCTTCTTCTTCTCTGTTATATTACATGCAATGTTAGTAAATATTATAACTATACACAGCATGACAACAAGATGACAGAACAAATCAGTTACCTGAAGTCTCGTCCGCATTAGATGGATTTCCCTTACGCCGCTTGTTCTTGTTTCCATCGTTCGACATTGAACTGCTGTTACTGTTAAATGTAAATAATTGCGATTCCGGGATGACAGTCGCCGAGGATGGTTCAGTGATGGAGTTTTCGCGTTGCATGATGTTGATGTATAAGGCCAGAAAAATCAGAAGAGTATGTTTTTGCAAGATATTAAAAAGATATCGTTTATTTACGCGACAAACAAAGTATTTATATGTTTGCTAACCCTGCTGCGGATCCGATGATTAATGCAAAATGTTAAAGAAAAGATGCTAAGGTATGATGTAATTGTCGACTGCGCATACTTTGCTAAGCTATGATGTAATGGTCGACTGCGCCTACTTTGCTAAGCTATGATGTAATGGTCGACTGTGCAACACAAAAGAAAATGGCTGCGGTAAAGGTGTCACGAAATACCAGAAAAGGGAATGGGTTCATTCTCATTTTCATTTTTTGATTTCCTATACGTTCTTATCCGAATGAAAACTGAAAATGAAAATGAAAATTTTCGAGTACCATTTTTAGAAACCGTTCGGATTTTCATTTCATATGAAATTTTCATTTTTGTAATTGAATACCCCTATTATTTTTAATTTTTTCTATGGTGAGGACGGTGGTATTGATGTTGTTGCTGCTGTTCCCAGTGTCCATGAGGACGGTGGTAGTGAGGTTGCGGACGGTGAGGACGGTGGTAGTGGTATTGGTGTTGCTGCTGTCGTCTGTGATGGTGTGGCGGTTGACAGTGACGCTGTTGGGTTCATGACTGCCTCATGCCACTGTCATAAAAGACATACATGATGTTTACACGGTCAACTTACAGCTGATCCAACATTCAAAAAATACATTTGCATTATTTCATGAGACTTATTACCTCAAAATCAAACTTTTCTTTGGCGATTGATTTCACCAGCGTCTAATTGTAATAAAGTATGAGCTTTCTTGTCGTGGAATCGTGTTATTAAAAAAATGAACATTTTGAATTTACCTTCCAATATTTTCTCAGCTCTCTGGCTTTCGCGGCTTTTTCCGGGGGTCCACGCTGAATGATGTCACGTAATTCGTTGGCAAAAGAATTTAACATCATTCGGAAACTTGCCGAGGGACTTGCTTTCTGGTACTGAGATGTAGCTTCCGCTACATCCCAGTTTTCAGCGTTGATCCTTTCAAAGTAACCCATAAGGAAAAAGAAAGGTTTTGACACGGAAAATGTGGTCTATATATTATGCAAAACTTGAATTTTAAACTCAAAAAAACGCAAATTTGGCAGGAGGTTGGAAGAGCTACCCCTTCCCCTTTCCGTGCCTGTTTTAGTAGAGAACTCTGCCTTTTCCCGCTGTCACAGCTTACATGGAACATCGGCATTGTGCTCATCGGATTCAATAGTCGATTTGCCAAGTAAGAAGTTTGTAATGGAGCACTCCTTTTTGTTTATGTACGTGACCGTGGACCAGTCTTTATTTGCCTATATGTATCGGACAATGAAAGGGATATAGACAAGAGAAAGATGTTCGTTATAAAACTGGAGACTACGGGATAAGGAAGAGGAGCGCTGGACAACGACGAAACGGATGGTTGGAACTGGTACGGGAGGAGTGAGAGGTACTGTGTAATGGAGCACTCTTGGCAGGAAATCTTTGGTAGTAGCATGATGAACGACTATGTCTCATGCAACTAAAGTTGAATGACAGTATTGTTGCCATAAATATGGAACTGTTACGATTATTACTACTACTAGCCACCATCATGCAACCCTATCAACAACGGTTATTACTTAATCCTCTTCTTCTACCCCTTCACTTCTTCTGCTGCTTGATCCACATCCTCCACAATACAGCAACTAAGTTACGAAATCTCAAATGACGACAAACTGTTGTTCCTAGAAATGCGTGAAAATGGTTTCACTGTTCATACTAGATAGTATTACATCTTCAGGTAATTCAATCTTTTTATAGCAGTAAAAAAACACCGTTAATATGTAGGAAAGAGCGTTTAGTAAACGCTATTACAGCAAAGTCTTTAGTCATTTCTTGTTTCTACTTTAGCCTACAGCCCGGTTTCGTTATTCATTAAGAAAAATTACGTCAGAGAAGTTTTCAATCACAGAGTAAAATTTTTTCAAGTTCCCACAGCGACGCGTCGCAACTGTACCTTTGTTGTTTGGTCAATTGCTCACCTACAACAATGGCCTCTGCATCTGATAGCCTTGGATACCTTGTCCGTGTCTTTCCCACCTACCCGACCGAAGTAGTTACAGAGACGTTTGACAACCAGCAACAACTTGACGAGTGGGTCAAAGAAAACCCCAAGCAGCATGCCAACTTCATCACCAACAACAAGTACATCTCCGTACCCAAGGCTTCAGATGCACGCCGAAATAATGCCGGCCGTCCTCGGACATTTGAACGTAGTATCACTTTTTTTTGTGATCACTCAAGAGAAACATCGGCTCCAGCTGTCTTTGCTCTGCCTATAGGCTCAACTGAACCTGCTCCCATAAAAAACGTCGACTTGCAAAACCATCTATTAAAGTAAATTGTCGTGCTCGATACCGTATTCAATACTTATTCTCAGGCAAAATCAAACTTATATATCACTGGCAACATCAACACCATGACCCTACCGAGATAACCAATGCAACTCGCTCACAACTCCCCGCTGAAACACGTAAATGGATCGAAGAACTTGTCAATAACAAGTTGGAGTGGGATCAAATTCAGGAACATCTGCGTTTGACTGATAAACAACTTCAAGATGTAAGTATCATCTATACATGTAAAGCAAAACTATGATGATAACTTGTAGAGATGCTAACCTGTGGTATCAGCTCGAGGAAGGCGAAGGACCGTTCCCGGAAGCCTTACGTGTGAAGCAGCATCATGTCATGAATATCATCGCCAACCAACAGTCAAGATTAGCAAGAAAAGATTTAATCGATAAAGAAAGTGTAGTCAAGTGGCTTCTCTTTTTATAAGATCAAGGTTATCAAACGTTGGAATATATCACGGATTCTACTTTTGTTGTTGCATGGATATCACCACGACAAGCTTTGGTAAGAAAAGATATATACTTAAATATAATGCAATGTTCGTATATTAAGATGCGTATGTGCTTTATAGCTGCTCAAGAATCTAAATGAGATCTGTATTGATGCCACACACAAGACTTGCAAATCTATCATCAATGGTCGGGCTGATGCGTATCTGTTTTCTATCGTTGCCAAGCATACAGTTACTGGACAAGGTTACCCTCTTGCGTTTATGATCACAGATAATGAAGATAGTGAAAATTTGCAAGTATGGTTTCGATGGCTCCGAGACAGAATCGAATACACACCAACAAGGATCATGATCGATTGCAGTCCAGTTGAAATTAACAGCATCAGAGCAGTTTATGGTCATCAAGTTCAAGTTCTTCTGTGTCATTGGCACATCAAAAGAGCATGGGAAAAGCACATCACGTCCAAGGTACCTTTTAGTTAGCCACATTATCGTATATTCAATATAACCTTCTTTTTTCTATATGTTGGGTTATAGATCAAAACTACTCTGTCAACAGCCGATACGAAGAAAAGAAGAGATGAAGCTCGTTCTGCCCTTGGTGCTTTGATGAATTGCAAAACTGTCGTTGAATTTGTGCAGGCTTGGGATGAATTTGGTAAAAAATGGCGAGATACATACGAGCATTTTGAATTTTATGGCTATGTGCTGGACTATTGGTATCCTAAGCATCATCTTTGGTGCAAGGCTTGGAGAGAGGTACGTTTAAGGCTCGTTTTAGCTTTATTTTGCGCTTCAATGTTATTTACGGTCGTATATTTAGAATGCGTCCTTCCATACAAATAATCTGATCGAAAGCTGGCATTCCAAACTTAAACGCAAATATCTTCCATACAGTCGCAATCATCGTGCTGATCGTGTAATCTATGTGTTGACGCAGTTGGTCGAAAATGACTATCGTGCTCAAGTCCTGCGTGTTTTGGCTGGTGTTGAAGAAACAACAGCGACTAGAGAAGCTCAACAAAGGAAAAAAGAAGCTTGCAAAAAATTACCAGATGAAGCTGACCGGATGATAACTATTCATGATGATCTTGTATGTATCGTTTCTGTATGTGTGCGTTTACTTTTACAATTGCTAATTGTACTGTGGCAATAGGTTACCTGTCAATCTTTTACTAGTTCTGCATTGTATACTTTAAAGTTTGAAGAAACAGATAGCAATGGCGTTATTGGTTCTTGTAGTTGTGAAGATTTTAAAAAGCGTAACCAGCCATGCAAGCATATATATCTGATCGCATATAACACCACCATTCCAGTAATCATAAACCAAAGTTTTCCTCGCCATTCAACAGCAACAGCATCATCGTCATCATCATCATCATTACCAGCATCATCTTCATTATTTTCGTCGTCAACAACATTAACAGCATCTGTGCAACTACCACCACCATCTTTACAGCAGCAGCAGCAGCAGCAGCATAGAAATGATCTGCTCGCCGAATATGAACGCTCGAAAAATCAAGTTGATAATCTATTTGCAAAAAACAAAACAAACATATCTACAACACAACTAGAGAATATGATTGTTCCACAAAAAAGGCTATACACAGACATAGAAAAAATTATCAATCCAAATGCACGTCCCTCTCGTCAACAATAAAGATCATTATAAATTTTTAGCAAAGATACTTATTACATCATATATTTTGTTTTCTGATACTCTTGGTTGGACTTAGCATATTTTTTCTGGATACAGTTGTTGGACTTGCAATATGGGACTTGGAGTTTCTCTGTGCTTGTGACTGACTAAAAATTCCTCTGACGTAATTTTTCTTGATGAATAGAGCAACTCCAGAGAACCCCGACGAAGGCTGTCACAACGCTGCGGCGGTTTCGAAGGTGACAATTTAAGTGTGGGCTTGTCTCAGAAGCAAAGGTTCCCAGCGACGTCGAACAAGTGCATGCCAAAATGGCGAACAATAACTTTGAACAAATCACCGAATGTAAGCTGGAAATGCGTATGGAAGCTGGAATATACATAGTACTGATTGTGTGCTCTAGATTTTGATGCGTATGTCGCGAAAGCAAAAGGCGTCGTGTCTTTGAAATCCTTCATCGAGGAAAATTCAGACATAATTGACAAGTTTTCGCGTGGAGAGGATGTTGATGTAAGAAGGTTCTGGAACAGCAAGTTTACGGAGTTAGTTACGGAGAGGGGAATCAAGGTCTGTACGAATATTTTCGTTCTAGTTTTCTTTCGTCAGTGTATTCCGAGTTGCTGAACAGGAAGTTTTAGAACTTCAGAAAGGACCAGCCGGACTGGGATGCGGTGCGCTCACCTCTTAAGGTAATCTATATTTCGTGTGATATCAAAAAGAATCTCATAGGTTAAGTTGCTATGTTACAGAAACCTCTGCCAAAAAGCCGCAAAAGGGCCTCATCGTCTTCATCAATATCATCAGCTACAGCATCATCATCATCTTCTTCCCCGTCCTCTTTGCCACCACAGTGCGAGAGCAGCAACAGCAATAGCGTGAAATCAAGTACGGAGAGTACCACCAAAAGAGTAAGTACTAAGCAATAAGAGTAATTATATACATGTGCAGGGGTGCCAGTGAGTGGTGAGTGTATATATACGTTCAAAAGTATGTGTACTTAATAAAATTTTCTTCAAATTAGCGGAAGAAGATTACGATTGCGCTGACCGAACACGTCGAGCCTGTAGTACTGCATGAAAGTACTGATAAGGTAATGCGACTGTCAGTAAATTTATGTGATTGATATTAACCAGCTCGTTATAGTGGGTAGTCGGAGAGGTGCCAGTTACAGAAAAGCTTCTTGAGTACCGTGATCTGAGCATCGAGAAAGGCAAAGAAGGAATGTTGGATGCGTACCAGGAGGAAATGTAAGTGTATTATCATCTATGAGGGCTTTAAACATATGACTAATATACTTGATTTCCACTAGGTCAATCAATGGCATCTTCTTGATCGATGGTCTAGAAAGCGTGTATCCAAGCTCATCGCTTGAATATGGTTTTGACGAGCAGACGTGGGAGCTGATGGTGGAAGAGTGCAATGGCCGATATCCTGTTGAAGAGCTATCGGATTCAGTTATCAAAGCATTAAGTCAATTCGAAAAGGTGCAATTTTATATAGAATGTAATCTTGTCGAGAAAAATGCTCTAATTGACTGATGATATATTTTAGGCTGCTCATAAAAATCTTAACTCCTGCAGCGCAATCGCTGACAAAGTCGACTCAACCTTCATCAAAGAATCGCTTATAAACATGTATGTTGCTGATTTTAAAGGTTTCTAATTGCATTTATGAGTACGTACATATCGTTAATTTATACATATAATACCAGAATATCAGCGTATTCTCCAGATGCCTCCAAGATAATCGATGCAAATGAGAGCACGTTTTCAATTGTAGCGGTCTATGGGGTATATGCATTACCAACTGTTTTCATATAAAAACTATCAGTAACAAATTTTTTGTTGGTAACAAAAATTTAAAATGGTAGCAAATTGAATTTTATCTTTAATAAAAAAATAACCTCTATGAAATCTAATTTATAGTTAAAAGAAAATAAAAAAGTTATAACTTATTTATAAATTGTAATATCCTTTAATTTAATAACTTTAAAAAAGATTTATTTAAATAAAGATATATTTTTTTTTAATTTGTAACTTTTAATGAAATTTGTAACTTTTAAATATTTTTGTAACTTTTATAAAGATAAAAATTTATTAAAGTAGCGGAACGGTAGTGAGCACCTCCTCCTTTAGGCTAGACCTTTAGGTCGACGCCTAACTTGACAGAATAAAGAAATATCATAATTTTGTTATTTATAACAAAAATTATAGATATTGATTATTCTCCTATAATGATTTCAGAATATATAAATGATTTAAATGTGATGCATCATATTTTTTATGAAAAATTAAATAATTTTATCAATGAATAAAATAAATCATAATTTATCTAATATATTTAATCAAAAAGAATTATTAAAAGCATATATTGAAAAACATAGTCTAGGTATATTATAAAAAACATTATATAATATTATATAAAACATTTATGGAAGAATATTATTAAAGCATAGAAAAAAAGGATTACCTAAACTTATTTTTATAGGTTTTCTTTTTTTTTGATTTTTTTTTCAATTTTTATAGGTAGCTTTTTAATTTCTATATCTTTACTATTATTTAATACTGTCCGTTTTTTAGGAATATGTAATTTACTATGTTTGCAATAAAGAAAATCTTTTTTAGTACCTTCAGGTATATTAGTTTTAATCTTATGGGAACAGAATCTACCCTTATGTTTTCCTTTTTTGAACTTATGCATTATTCATACTAAGGTATAGAAAATAATCTGACGAAAATGTTTCTTTTGAATTTTTTATTAATTTTTTTTCGTTTTCTAAGAAATGATCAAATTCAGATTCCATAAAAATATTTATTTCTTCACATAAATTTTTTTAAATTTGAATATGGTTAAGTAGGAGATAATCATTAAGTGCAACCATTATTAAACCTTTGGATGATTTTATTTTTATTTAAAAATAAAATTCAATTTTATAAATAATTTAAATCTTTGGATGATTTTGTTTTTATTTAAAAAATAAAGTTCAATTTTATAATTAATTTAAATTTTTGTTACCAACAAAAAATTTGTTACCAATAGTTTTTATACAAAAACAGTTGGTAATGCATATGCGCCAAGTCAAGAAGCGATTGCTGGATCCAGTATTGTTGTGCTTGAACGTCAGGGTCAAAGAAGCCAAAAGAAGTGATTGCCTTCCAAATGCATTTGACATATTCGTCCTCTTTGGTGTCGTCGTTCTCTTCCAGTGGTTGTAACGCCATTTCACACTGCTCAAAGATTTCTTGAACAGAATCGTCCAACGAAGGGAAAACATCCCCTCCTACTGTTTCTATTTCTGCAAGCTCTTGCTTTGTTAGCAAGTCTTGCCAGCAATCATCCTTGGGATCGATTATGAATAAGTGGACGGTACTGTACATTATTCACATTTGCAAACCATTGTAAGTGTTTAATGTGGTGGGTAGTAAAAAATTTGGATGTCAAAATCTTTAGACTTACTGCTCATAATCGCACTCCATTCCGTATTGAAACATAATATCTTCCAGGTAGACTTTGGCACCGTCTTCCTTGGTGCGCAGCAACCACTTTTTCTCTTCTTCCATGCCTTCGTAATCTTTTTTGAAGCGGTCTTTTGCTTCGGCCGTCAATTCCCACGAGCTACTTTTCGATGTCTGTGTTGATGTCGTGGGTCTGCTTCTTTTCGACGAGCACTGTTCCTTTTTTTTGTTCTGTATCTGTGTTTTGATGTCGTCCCAGTCGATATTTTTCTATTTTAAATAAATCAGTAAGAGGTTGCATTTGATAAGTTTCGTGTCACTCACATCTACTATGTTGTCGACGTTCAACTGCTTCGCTACAATTTGATATCGCTTAATCCAGATACGCTTAATATCTACGCACAAATCAGTGTTTGCAGCTACTTCATTACAGCGTGTGTAGAGAAAATCTCGCAAAGAGGGTTCCTTTTCCGAGGCCATGCAGATTTTGACATATGTTTCGATTGCTAAGTGCACAGAGTAGGATTAGTAGAGATTTTATTTGGAAACTGTTTCAACATACATTGCTGCGCTTTAAGTTCGCAATCAGTGCTAGTAGATGTTGCCATGGGAATAATGGTTGCCTTGAAAACGAAAGTATCCTTATTATGAGGTTTCTGTAAAGGTGGATTGGAAGGGCAGGAAACCGAATCTGAAAAATCGGGCAGGTCTATTTGCACACCCCCTCATGCACACCCCCAGTCACACCCAGGTAGGATTTCCGTTACACACACCCCGCTGACATTTCTTTCGTGCACACCCCCTCACACCCTTTTGACTAAAAAGAATTGGCAGTATGCATAAAGAAAATTGATACAGGATTCGTCCATTAGTCTAAGTATAAGGTGTTGGCAAAAAGAATAAAAAAAGAGAAAGTGGCAGGGAAAGTAAGAAAGGTAGCGAAAAAGTAAGAGGATCAAGTGTCAAGTAGCTGATTAATTATTTCGGTTACAGGTGGTTAAGTCTTCGCCCTCAAAATCAAATGCGTGAATGGGATGCACTTCTTCGTTATTGGGAATCGTGAAATCGGGAAACGGTCGAATAGACCGCTCAAATGAATCTTCAAAAAGGGGATACCAAGGATCATTGTGATTGCTTTTGTGTGGTTCACGACCCTCAGGCAATATTTCAGGCCACTGGATAGCTGCGTCGTTTTTGGTCATAACGAGTATGAAGTGGTTTCCAATAAGCTGGAGGACGATCGGGTCGGTGCTCTTGGCGTGTACTGGGTTGGTTGTTAAAGGGAAGAAAATGTGCGATTGTGCGCCATCTATAACAATTGGCGTTTCGAACGTATCAGCGGCAATTTGACTGCATTCAGGCGAGATGAACCATTCACTTGAATATGGATCGAGTACTTTTAGTAAACGACCCTTGTCGTAGTATTAGTAAAGCGTATTGGCGTTGGAGAGGTACTGATCGAGCATCTTGGTCTTGACATCGATGTATCGCTCCTCTGTGTTATACAGCTCAACAGCTAAGGCCCGAAAGCCACAGTTACCATCTGGCATGGGATTATGCATCAATTCAACAGCTGATGGAGGGATCCATTTGCAAACAAGGTTGAGGTTGGGTACAAAGCGAATTTTTGGAGGAGGAGGGATGGTAAGTGCCATGTTGTTTGCTTCATTTGTTGTTGTTGGCTCCATCTTTCCGTTCCTATAGATATTAAGAATTTAAATAAAGAATCGGCTATACATCTTAATGCATAAAACTTTAATATATTGCTGCAGCATCACGACCAATGCCGGTGTTTGCTTTCTTTCGGCTTTGAGAGTCTTGATGCTCTAAAGCGATCAGCTCACGCTTGTTGCTGCTGCTTTGTGGTTTTTGGGTGCTTTTGGGGATTGATTTTGGCTGCTGAAGCTGCTCAACGTCGATGAACATACCATCATTGATAGATTTTAGGTGCGCGAGGAGAGTTTGCACGTTGTTGATTATCTGGAAAGCGGTGTATAAGATTGTTGAGGCGTGTGAGCTCTCCTTCGATTTGCGATTCCAGGCTTGGGGCTGTAAATGAACCAGTCATCGCCAAAATGTTGCTATTGCTATTGCTTGTTGTGTTTGGTTTTCCTAATAACAACAAAAATCAGCTACTGTACGTTATAAATATAACAGCTTTTACATAACAGCCATGACTACCTTGAGATGCCGTTTTCTCAGGATAAAGGTGCCAGCGTCTGGGAATTAAGCTTAATGGGATTTCACCCTATGGTGGAAGCACATGGCAGCACGGAATATCATAATGATACTTGATTGCACATTGGCAGTGATCAGTCTTTAACGGATTATTGACTGTTAGCTCGTCACGGATGGCATAGAAAGCGAACTTGGAAGTTTTACGTTCCAAAGCTGCCAAACGCTGCTTTTGCTGTGGTGGGATATGCGAGTTTCCGCCAAAACGTTCCTTGTCGATCTGGCGCTTCCAATTCAAGTTCTAATATAAGGAAGAAAGCATGTAAGAGCCGCGTCACTAACGGATCAATATAATTACTATAAGAGATAAACCTTCAATCGATAAAACTCGTCAGTTTGCGTAAAGGCAGTTAGGAGATTGCCACTTGAGGACATAATTGCCTTTTCATGTTAGCATGCGTCCCTTCGACTCTATTTGTGCTGTCATTTCCGAAATGCTTTACATAAGTGAGACGATTGCCTACCCACTTGTCTTTTGAAGCAAGCTTTCTGTATACCGAAAAAACATGTTGAAGTCCAAGTATCATGTGGTCAAAAAATCCGTGCTTATTCAATTTTACACACCTTTGCCAATAGTCCATGACAACGTCGGGTCTTTTTGCTATTTGAGCAGCCTCCTCATACATCTTCATTGCCTTTTCTTCGAGCTTCTCGTTCGAAATCGTGGATCGCATATCGTTGAACTTGTCTTGATACTCACTAGCCATTAAAAAATTGATAGCTTTCTTCAGTTCCTCGTAATGGTCCTTGACATCAAAAAGCTTGCGTAGGTTGACCCTGAAGTTGCGTCGTATAAGGATCTTGCATAGGATCTTCTTCGCCGTTGGAAAAACGCGGTCAAGAGCACCGGTCAAAGCAGATTCGCTGTCTGTTACAAACACACCAGGGGACGAAACCTGATCAAGTGGCCAAACGACAGTTTGAAGGTTGCGAATCACCCAATCGTAGCTGTCGTTGTTTTCCTCTGATACCCAGCAGCCAGCAATGCAGAAAGTCATCAATTGGGGATATCCGATATTGCCATTCCAACAATGTTGATAAATGGCAACCGGTGCTTGTTTGTCTTGTAAGTGGCGTCCAAGGTAACAACTTCCGGGAATTGGCGAGCGAGTGCGATTGCCGATCTGTGCGCAAAGAAGAGAGACTGCAAAAAGCGTTTGTCGCCTTCTTGTTTTGCTTTCCATTGGACTTCGTACTCGTCTTCTTGAAGCTTTTTGATTAGCTGGAACATTGCATGATCTGGGTCGTTGTTGAAGATGCGCTGACGAAGATTGGTGATGTCCTTAGGATGAGCAATCTTGTTCTTGCTGGCAAGATACGACAATACAGCTTTGTTGGTTGCATGCGCCTGTACCATCTTCATAACGACCTCCTCATCGTGATCGAGTTTACGGAGCATAGGGTACGACGAAAGCTCGTTTGCCAACTCATGGTTATGACCGCCATCATAGAAAGAGACTATGTGCCATTGGTTGCTGGTCTGGTTCAAAGGATGAAGGATCATTTCGAATTTGCAACCAAACCACTGAGAGTCCCTTTGACGAGTGTCGATCTTTTTACCCTTGGATGATGCAATGGCCGTGCCCTCGTCATCTACAATAACCATTTGTCTTGTCGTGGTCTTCTGCTCTTCACATACGCCCTTGTTGACTGGCTCACCATAATGCTTGCAAGCAATCTGGAGCTTCCTCTTATTTCCCGTCTTATTACTTCTAATAGTACGCAACGAGACACCATTTTCTTTGCCCCATACATAGCAGGCAGTCTTTGCGGCATCGAATCCATCCCATGTAGTGCTAAGTTCTTCTGGAATTGAGGTCATTGTTTTTGACATTGCATATAAATGAGCAGTAATGAGGTAGTTAGAAATTTTAAAAAATAAAAGCGCGTTTGTATCACATCAATGTTCCTGGATTTTTACATAATAAAACTGTCCGTCCTATGTATACCCATATACAATGATGATAGGTAAAGACGTGTTTCATATATATTTCTATCTAAGCATATACTTTATGCTAGATCATTTCTTTATTGCAAGTTCGCATAGCTTCAGGAATAAGCTGCATTACTGTAACTTTAATAAAGGATGTGCATGACCAAAATATTTTGCACAATTTTCAGTCAAAAGGGTGTGAGGGGGTGTGCACGAAAGAAATGTCAGCGGGGTGTGTGTAACGGAAATCCTACCTGGGTGTGACTGGGGGTGTGCATGAGGGGGTGTGCAAATAGACCTGCCCGATTTTTCAGATTCGGTTTCCTGCCCTTCCAATCCACCTTTACAGAAACCTCATAATAAGGATACTTTCGTTTTCAAGGCAACCATTATTCCCATGGCAACATCTACTAGCACTGATTGCGAACTTAAAGCGCAGCAATGTATGTTGAAACAGTTTCCAAATAAAATCTCTACTAATCCTACTCTGTGCACTTAGCAATCGAAACATATGTCAAAATCTGCATGGCCTCGGAAAAGGAACCCTCTTTGCGAGATTTTCTCTACACACGCTGTAATGAAGTAGCTGCAAACACTGATTTGCGCGCAGATATTAAGCGTATCTGGATTAAGCGATATCAAATTGTAGCGAAGCAGTTGAACGTCGACAACATAGTAGAAGTGAGTGACACGAAACTTATTAAATGCAACCTCTTACTGATTTATTTAAAATAGAAAAATATCGACTAGGACGACATCAAAACACAGATACAGAATAAAAAAAAGGAACAGTACTCGTCGAAAAGAAGCAGACCCACGACATCAACACAGACATCGAAAAGTAGCTCGTGGGAATTGACGGCCGAAGCAAAAGACCGCTTCAAAAAAGATTACGAAGGCATGGAAGAAGAGAAAAAGTGGTTGCTGCGCACCAAGGAAGACGGTGCCAAAGTCTACCTGGAAGATATTATGTTTCAATACGGAATGGAGTGCGATTATGAGCAGTAAGTCTAAAGATTTTGACATCCAAATTTTTTACTACCCACCACATTAAACACTTACAATGGTTTGCAAATGTGAATAATGTACAGTACCGTCCACTCATTCATAATCGATCCCAAGGATGATTGCTGGCAAGACTTGCTAACAAAGCAAGAGCTTGCAGAAATAGAAACAGTAGGAGGGGATGTTTTCCCTTCGTTGGACGATTCTGTTCAAGAAATCTTTGAGCAGTGTGAAATGGCGTTACAACTACTGGAAGAGAACGATGACACCAAAGAGGACGAATATGTCAAATGCATTTGGAAGGCAATCACTTCTTTTGGCTTCTTTGACCCTGACGTTCAAGCACAACAATACTGGATCCAGTAATCGCTTCTTGACTTGGCGCATATGCATTACCAACTGTTTTTGTATCTACTATTGGTAACAAATTTTTTGTTGGTAAATTTTCCTTTTTATGTCCAACAATACTTTCTATTTCATATGATGCAGTTGCACGCTGTTTACCTTTTATATTTCTTCTTCTTTTCCTAGTACGTTCATTAAAATTAGGAATATCATTATCATTTTCACTATTTTTTAATTCATCTGATTCACTATCATTATCTATAACCATTGTATTATTTGATACTGTCATATTTAATAAATCATTTTGTAGTTGTACCATTCTATCAAGTTTATCTTTATTTTGTTTATTACTACTAACAACTATATCAATTAATTTTTTTCAATAGGAAAATCAAAATCATGACTATGCCATAATTTATGGTGAGGTAAAACAGGTATATTAAATAATTCAACGAATTTTGTAATATTCTTTAATAAACAAGCTACTTGAAATTGGAGGTTATAAAATTTAATATTATCTATTTTTACAATTGATTTATTATTATTAAATCGATAAAATTTATTGCCAATTTCAGAAAACTGATTTTCAATTTTACTTCTAAAGCTTCCAAATGTATTATTAAAATGTTCTTCAGTAATAGTTAGATTTTCATTTATATTTTTACGTATTGGATAAACAAAGTTATCATTGTTAAAATCATATCCAAAATAAATGATCATATGATCATTTTATTTTACCAATGAAATTTTTAATTTCATTTTTTTATTGGTCAATATTAAAATATAAATTAAGAAATAA